GGCGCCCGGCTCTCGGCGTCGCGGGCGAACTTGACGCCGATGCCGCTTCCCGCCCCGGCGCTTCCCGTTCCTCCGCTTCCCGCGGCGCTTCCCGGCTCCTTTCCGGGGGCGGTGGTGGAGCTGACGCCCTCCCGGATGAGCACGGACACCTTGGACTGCAGCTTCACCTTCCTGGGCGCCGTCGTTGCCGTTTTCGACATTCCCGTCGTTCCCGTCGTCGGCGTCGCCTCCTTGCCCGGCGCCGCCTTCCCTTTGCGGCCGCTCTTCTCCCGCGGCTTCTCCTTGGATTTCCCGCCTTCCGCCGACTCCGGTGGGTACTCCTTGAACTTCTTCTTGTGCTTGTCCCTGCTGCCCGGCGCTCTATCGTCGGGGCGGCCGCGCTTGCGCTCCTTGTCCCCCCTCTTGTCCCCGGCGCGGCGCGGCGGCGGCGGCGGAAGGGACGGAGGCGGCGGCGGCGGGACGATCTCGGCGGGTTCCCGGTCGGAAAAGCCCTCGAAGCTGAGCCCCTCGGAGTCGTAGAGCACCTCCCGCTTGGGCTCGGGGCTGTCGGCGCGCCGGCTCACCGTGATCGTCCTCTTGATGGCGAACAGGTCCGAGTCGTTGAGCTCCTGCACCGACGGCGGCACCACGGCCCGCGGCTCCCGGCGCCGGCTCCCCGTGCTGCTTCCTCCTCCTCCTCCTCCTCCTCCTCTCGTCACGGACCCCCCGCTCTTCTCCGCCTTGGCCTCGGCGTCTCGGCGCGAGGAGCCGCGGCGCTCCCGGGAGCGCGAGCGGTGCCGCCGTCCCCGCTGCTGCTGCTGCTGCTGCTGCTGCTGCTTCTTCTTCTTCTTGTCCCCGCGCCGCTTGTCCTTGTCCTTGCGGTGGCCCCGCGAGCGGCCCGAGCTGCCCGAGCGGCCCCGGCGCCGACGGCGCTTCTCCGACCCGGCGCCGCCCCTGGAACGCGAGCGCCGCGACGACCACGAGCGCCGGCGGGAGCGGGAGCGGGACCCGCGGCGGCGGCGACGGTGACGCTCCTTGGACTTGGAGGAAGAGGAGGGGGTGGTTGTTGGAGCGTCGTCGGGCTCGGGGGGGGG